ACTCGCCATTGTTACATAGCGACTATTCAGAGGTACAGTTAAAAACCCCTGGATGTAAGATACGAATCTAAGACCCCTGGATGTAACGACAGCATTCACGATCGATGTGATCATCTGCGCGCCGACCCCTAGATGTAAGATTTTACGATCGCAATAAACATCTGGGCACTGGTTTAATATGAATATGATCAGACAATCTCTTCTCCGTTAAAGATTTTGCGCGCAACCTAATCTTGAGGGGAAAACGCTAAGTGATGTTTAAGCAAGCGACATAGATAAGTTATTGCTGAGTAGTTCTTTTTATTTGTTTAGTTTGTTTTCTGCTTCAACAGACAGTGTAACCTACGGTGGTAGAACAGTTTTAACCTCAAATCGCATGCTTGCGTTGATTTGCTTCCTGCGAAACGAAATAGGCAATACTTGGTAACTATGCTAGTCGACAAAATGAAGGAATAAAGGAATGGCTGTTTTCATCCTTGAAAACTTTCCTTGCGTTCATTAATTTTGTGTTATGTACTTATGGTATCAAAAACAAGCACAGATGGTAGTTCATACATGAGCAAAAATAAAGTTACATATTTTATTTTAGGTACAATAAGATGGGGAAAGGTAGACTAGATTGAGTGAAATTAAAGAATATATTGTTATTGACGCGTTATAATAAAACTATCCTTCCAATTGCAAAGGTATTATTTTAGACCGAATATTTTTGTGTTTAATCGTGCTCAACCAAGGGAGGAAGGCCTTCTGTCAATGCAGTTGACCACATTCTAGAACCTTCTCTCCATATTGTAAGTCATGGAGAGACCGGTTTTGTGTTTGGAGTAGCTTTCAGGAATTTGTCTTGGTTTTTAACGATGTTAACGCCAAAATACTCCAAAAAGAAGACAGAACTGAGGCTCTTGGTGGTGAAAGCATGAAATTACTTTGCCGGCAAGAATGGATAAGGTATTAAATCCGTGAAAAAAAAAGATCTCTATTTTGAAACCTCAGTCACAAATAAGTCTCATTTTCCTACTATCTTGGTCATTACTCACGTTCTTATCAAAGAAAGGTCAACAAAGACGGAAGTCGTTAACATGTAAATCCTGGTTTTAGGTCCAAATCATGATCTTGAGGTATCCAAATCCACTGGAATTTGCTTCCCTTTCAGCAGTCTTGTCCAGCCCCGTCCTTGACTTGAACTAGCTATAAAATTTAAATACAGAAAATAGCTGGTAAACTCAGAAATAAAGTGTTCCGAGCGTTGACTCAAGGGGGAGAGAAGAATGCTACTGATAAAAATTGAGAACGAAACGATAAACGATGAGCTTCAAGATTATTTGTTATTGGGCAATAAATAACTAGAGGTCTAGCGTCACATTCGTACCTGATAAGCAGACTGACGTCGCTGCCTTGGTCAAAGATTATTTTCTTAAATAGTCTCTCCGTCGTTCAGATGGACTATGTGCACCCGCGTAACGCTTTTATTATTTTTTTGATATTCTTGTTTTCTGAGTTACACTTTAACAGGTAGAGCTTTCTTTGAATCTTTACAAAAATGGCTTCTTGTTTAAGGTTCTTTGTAGAATCACTAGCTTTTCCTGTTCAAACACATGAAATTTATGATCGTAATTCAAACACAATATTGCACCACACACCTTCTTGCAAGAGGAAGACTCGACTCTTCCGATTTGCCTATCTTGAATTGATAACCGGAAGAGGTAATAAAAATAGATGCCATTCAATAACGGTGTAAATACAGAATTTGACTGGAAGGAAAAAAGATCATGGGAATTGGTGTCCTTGAATAGAAAGCTCCACTTACGATAGTATCCGTTTGCGGAAAGTTGACAGTATAAATAAGGCGGTTTTGTTCTGGGGTCATGATTCTGAGCATTTTCGGTTTGTGTGTACATGTGTTTAAATCATTTTTACTAAGTATTTGTATATTAAGTGCACTTTTTAAAACTTTTTATCATTGTCAAATTAGATCAAACATCGCTCAGTGAACATAACAGGAACAGCTAAGGATAATGTGATCTCTTAACGCAGCTAAGAACCTTCCCGCGATTTCCTTTTTCCTTTAGCACATTTCCGTTTCTGCTCCTGTACCACTGAGCAAGCACAAGACACGCAAGGTAACCTTATTAAAACTCACTTAGAATAGTTTCTAATGCTTGAGGATATTTTTTAGAAGTGGAACTGTTCTCGTTATCGAAAGATGTAAATTGACTCGCTGGCCAGAAAAGATATTTTGGGCTAATATTAAAAGCTGGAAAGTTGTCGTTTGAGTGCTTCTGGGAAACAGTCTTGGGTGTGGTAGGATACTGATTAATGATATTCCTTCCGCTGCATTGAAAAGCGAAAATTGAAAGGCTATTTTTACCATTATTATACTTTGGCTCATATCATGCTCATGCGCAAATGAAACAATTATTTTGTTATAAAGTCTCGCTTTGAAAAGGTAAGACAGATTCGTCCTCACACTACTCACAAGCAGTTCCTTCATCACTGAGGTAGATCAGATTACCTCTGAGGTTGCCGAGGAAAAGGCTATCTACGAGAAGTAAGTGGTTGTATCATAAAGCTTGCTAAATATTTATTCATTTGTTCCCGTTAGGAAATCCTGTGCTGACCGCAAGGAAACTATAAGTGTGTTTATGTTTACTAATCAATTTGCTGAAAATCTACGATCTATTATTGTTGCAACGTGTATCAGGGCACAGCTGAAGGACGATGTCAGGACACAAGTAATGCTGACCAACGAAAGAAACAGCTTGTCTTTAAATATTGAACCAGATCACAAATACTAACGACAGATTAGATGATAAGGCGATTTTACATTTTCCCTCCAACAGACAGGTGTTCACTAAACTTCAAGCGAAACTCCTTGCGTGAATCAAAACATGTCTTCCTTCACTGCTCTGTTGATTTTGCTTACCCTAGGTGAGTTGAAAGAATATGAACTGTTTTTTAAATGCTTCGGCACTCAAATGAGACCGTATTGATTAAATAATGAGAGTCATTGATGCTTTTTTCCGTCACAATATGTCTGTGTCTCTTGTGCAGTGGCGTGCGCTCATTTAGACTGAGTTAAGTTGAGTCTTTTAATTGCTCATCATCCCAGTCATCTTTTTGGGTGGTGAACCTTACTTTTCAAAATGTGCTCACAAAGTGAAAAATAATAACAGTCGAAGCCATGTTTTCAAATAACAATGAAGGGAGAGCTCAGAAAAGTTTATAAAGATTTCAGATTTTCCTAATAACTATACATAAACAGGAAAAAAAAAGTTGAAAAGATCTTTCAATTTGTATTAGTCTTTTCCGAAAAATTATGTATTCAAATTTCATTCTTTCTGATTCCTTTGTCCTTTTCGATAAAATTCCCTTAAAATGCCAGTTGTTTGGCAAGAACGTTTTGCGCGACTGAGCCCACAAGTCACCCATATCAGGCTTTTTTTACTTGCACGGATTCAAAAAATTTTAACTTTTGGTGGATCAATGTAAGTGAAACTGTTTGTAGGAAAAAAAAATATTACATGTAAACGAATGTGCCTCCTTTCCTGGGGAAAAAACCTGTGATGTTCATAGGGGTTTTACGAAATCACAGGAAGAAATCTACAGATCAATGAACACGACTATCAATCAGTTCATATGTGATGACTTTTGTAGCTTAATAATCTAATTTGTTTACATTACTGCTTAATTCGAGGATCAGCATTCTCACTAAGTCTTACGATCTAGAAAACATCTACTTTAGCTCAAATTCTTCTTACATTAAACTTCAAATTGATAAAAGTCTTAACAAAGCGAAACCGAAGCATATATTCGAATCTCGCCAACACAAGCCGTTAGATCGAGTATTTCTCGTCGACCAACAAGGAAATGCTTTGATTGTGAGCATTTCATGATTCTCAGCTACGAAATCTTAGACTC